ACTTCATAAGACACGCCCTCCCGCGGACACTTCCTACACACTTCATAAGACACGCCCTCCCGCGGACACTTCCTACACACTTCATAAGACACGCCCTCCCGCGGACACTTCCTACACACTTCATAAGACACGCCCTCCCGCGGACACTTCCTACACACTTCATAAGACACGCCCTCCCGCGGACACTTCCTACACACTTCATAAGACACGCCCTCCCGCGGCTGCTCCGCCTCGCCCAGCAAGGCCACCTGTGTATATTTATATACCTGGCGCCTCAGGCGCGTGATTATGCCCTCGCCGCCGCGGTCCTGCTGCCGGTTGGCGCCCTCGCTGCGCTGCGGCTGCCGGGCGTGGTGCACCGGGCGCTCATCTTTCAGCGCTCGTTTGTCGACCTCGACATGCGCCGGCGCAGTAGTGTTTCCTGCCCCGGGCGCCCCCGCTTGTTTACCCTCCGTGCTCACTACGGGTAGGCACGGGCTCATCCTGTACTCCTCCGTCCTCGCTGCGGTCGCCCTCGCATACGCGCTCTCCTCGCTGGATTGGGGCTGAGAGGCGGGTCGCGCAAGCTCCCGATGCCGCGACGGATGGGCAAGGTTTGTGGGGCACCCCGGCAGGGCTTGGCGCTTGAGTCGGGGAACCAGCTGCTCCATTTGCTCGTCTGTACGTGACCTACTTCGGCATGCACAGTCGTGAGCTGTCGTACGGTGCTGTAGCTACCCGCAGTACAGCGGTGCTCTCGGTTTCTGTTGGTTTCATGTTTACGTCGGTTGCTTATATACTAAGGTAAGCTAGGTAGCGGGCATACAGCGATGCAGGCGGGGTACAGCGTACGCACAGTTGTAGAACTAGATGAGCCGGTAACCAAAGACGAAAGGACGTCAAAGGGCAAAATCCGCAACCGTTTTGAGGTGTGATCTGTGGAAGCTGTCCGGCACGCGGTGCAGCCTGCAGCGAAGTGGCAGCGTGATGGCTGAGGAGCGTCGGAGCTCGGAGCTTTAGTGAGTGCGGAGAGCAGGTAAGGTAAGGTAAGGTAAGGTAAACTCTTCTCCACACACACGAGGTGGTGGTTCGGAGCAGCCTCGTGGACGCAGTGACGTGACCCCCCCCCCCCACACGCACACACACACACACACACACACACACACACACGCACACACACACACACACACACACACACACACACACACACACACACACACACACACACACACACACACACACACACACACACACACACACACACACACACACACACACACACACACACACACACACACACACACACACACACACACACACACACACCGCTCACCCACGCGCACTGGGGCTTGTACTTTGAATGCCGCGGGGCTCCTGTCGTTATAGACGTGGAGACGCGAGGGTCGCCCCCCCCTTGCCCCACCACCCCTCGTGTGTGTGGAGAAGTTTACCTTGCCGCCTTACCTTACGCAAGACAGGAGATGACGGCACGCTTGGGAGAATGAAGAGTGCGCCGCCGGGTGCTGTGCCAGCACTGGCGACGCCGCCCTTTGCGGTGGGAAGAACCCCTCCTTTGACAACCCACCGTGCTGGGAGTGCCAGTATGACAGGGACGGCGCCTGCGCACCGTGTTGGGAGCACGGCTGTCTGCCCGACTGTTCTATCTTCTGCTACACCGGGCAGCCGCCGTCCCCGCCGCCACCGCCACCGCCGCCCAATTCGGCTGGCTGCCGGTTTGACAACGACGAATGCGCCGCTGGGTGTTGCGCGAACACCGGGAATGCCGCTCTCTGCGGTGGCGGCCACCCCTCGTTCACGAACCCACCTTGCTGGCAGTGCCAGGACAAGAGGGATGGCACCTGCGCACCGTGTTGGGAGCACGGCTGTCTCCCCGACTGTTCCATCTATTGCTACAACGTCTAGCCTCTGGCTGTGGCACCACCGTGGCCCGCCGAGGGCCCGTGCCTTTTGGTGTACCCCGTTTGACCGCGTCCGAGTTCATTTTAAAAAAAGACATCGGTAAACTGATACGCGACGTGCGCGCGGGCGTGCGTCCATCAACCTCTGCCCCATTGACGCTTACCCAATGGACTTCCTCAAGAAGCTAGGGTCTGGCCTCGTCGAGGAGGCGACTGAGAAGCTGCAGACGACTCTGACAGAGGGTGCAAGTGATGCCATGTCCAGCCTCACCGGCTCGGTCACAAAATCGCTCCTCGGCAAGGCTGCAGGCACCCTCAAGCCTCGGTCCCGCGCCGCATTCTCTCAGCCGTCCGCGTGCCACATTTTCCTCGTCCGTTCAGGCGCGGCAGAAAATGTGATGGAATCTCTCTCGCCTCAAATTGATGAGGCCTTCAACGGTGCGCGAGACAACGCGAAGCAAGAGCTCGGTGCCAAGCTCGTTGGACACGCGGAGAAGGTTGTCCCCGCGGAGAAGGTCGTTCTCATCCCCGCTAGCACACTTGCTCACCATACGCTCTCCCCCACAGGCTATGGAGTCTCTCTCGTCATCGCTCCTCGAGAAAGCGAATGAGGCGATGGATGGCTCGGGCGGATCCTCGTCGCGTGACGAGGGTGGCGGGCTGTTTTCCTCGTTGAGCACGGCCGCGATGTCCCAGGCAAAGTCGGCACTCAAAGACGCCATGTCGAGCCAGACCGAGGAGATCAACACTTCTCTTCTAAACAAGGCAAAAGCGATCGCAGATGACGCCTTGGTGCGCGCGGATCGCAGGTGACGCCTGGGTACCTGGGCAAAGCTAACCCTGAATTTCACCCGGTCCTAGGCAAAGCTATCGCCGCAAATCGAGATGGCCTTCGACGAGGCCAGAGACGCAGCGAAGGCATTGTTCTCGACAAATCTGGTCGGCTCGGCCGAGGACACGATGAATTCGCTTTCGTCGAATCTTGTGAGCTCCGTGACGGGAAAAAAACGAGCTCGCGACGACGACTAGTCCTCCTAACTAAGTCAGAGGCGCAGCTAGGGCGTTTCGAGATCGCTGCGATCGCCGAGGGGCTCTACATTCTAATCTCTCTCTCGCTGGCCCTTTTGCGTCTGATTCGTGAAGCTGTTGCGTCTCCGCCGACAGCTCACGAGCAGAGAGAGCGCTTTGAGCGGCGGCCAGAGGGCGGAGGTGTCCGGGTCCGCGCAGGGCCTGGCGCCTCGGCCCTCGCGCGGGGGGCGGCGGCGCGGCCGGTGTTGTGTATGCAGCGGTAGAGTATGATTGAAAGCGTTTGCGACTCTCCTTTCCTCTACCGCTACCGCTCGACGCGTCAGCCGTCACGTCTCGGCACAGCTCGCACGTCGGCGAGTTATGCGTCACGTGTGTGCCACTGTGCGCTCGCGGCGGGAGTGGACGACACGCCCGCTCCCTCCAGCCCTGGCTCAGGCGGCCAGCGTCGAGATGCGGAGCTGCCCGTCGGTGCCGCCCGAGACGACCGCGTCGGCGCCGTCCCACGCGACGCAGAGCGCCTTGCCCTTGTGCCGCGGCAGCGAGTGCAGCGCCACTCGGGGTGAGCGCGTGTCCCAGAGCCGCACTCCGCCGTCGTGGCAGCCGCTGACGAGGAGGTGTTCTCGCACGCCGCACCACGCGACCGACGAGACCCACCCGTGGTGGGGGATGGCGCCC